CTGATGGCCGCTAGAACTCGACTTCGAGATTGAGCTAAGCATGAACAATTGAAGAACGATTTGGTCGAGCACTCTAAATTTTCTCGCAATCAAGTTTAAATTTTTACTGTACTTTATGTTATAATTTCTATCTTATAATTTATCTCTTTTGTATGTTTTCAAATTCTAAATTTGCAATAATTATAAGATTTTCTTAAATTACAAATTATAAATTTATTTAATTTTTTAAAAAATAATTTTTTTCTAAGATACCCAACTTAAGATCCTACCTATAAACACTTCTCAAAACTAAAAACAAAATTAAAACTCTTAAATTCTACTTTTTCAAATTTAATACTAAATTAATGTAAGATACCCTAATTAACATACTACCTATAATGTTGCTCTTACTATCCAACCTTGATGTCACAAACTCTGATATCATTACCGATTTTCATTTTAGGACAGTTCAATTTACGTTAGCTAGGTACTTTATAATAGTCGAGTCTCTTCTGTACACTGGTAAGCAAAAGACAATATGAATATACGATTGGTTTAACTGATGATTACCTCAAACAGAACGACCACAAACCTCCTTAAGGCAAATAATCTTCTCAAGAAACACTTTAATGTGACTTCATTACCTTTGAATCTGAACCTAAAGACGAGGATGAACCTAATCCATACAACAAGACAGAAGCATAAGAATTAAAAGCATTGGTGACATCAAGAGGAAAAGCAATGGAGAACAAGGAGAGAGTTAAACCTTCGTTTTCGATTTCAGTGAAACGGTATGTTGAAATGATGTAATGAGTACAATTTTGACTCCATAACACATCTGCAGCATCTTCTCAACAATAAACCCTTTGTATAGTTTTGGATGAGACTTGAGCTGTTTTAAGATTTCTTGTATAACACGTTTATGACAATCAAAGGTTTTATTTTTTTATACAGTTTATACATAAAACTTTCATTGGAGTGTTTAATCTATTTTAAAAATAAATAAAAAAATTTAAAAGTTTTCCTTTTATTTATATTTTATACTTTTTAATTATATGTTTTTATAAACTTTTCCATTCCCATATTGTCTTAAGTTTCCTTTTCCTTTTCTTTCATGGAGTATTATTTTCCTTTTCCTAAACTAAACAACAAGAGAGAGAGAGAGAGATGGTACCTTTAAAACCAAGTTAACTCGAACCCTTCACTATTATTTAAGTCTATGGTATGTGAGATCGAGTGAGAGTTCTCTCAAATAACTTTTGTTTCTTTGAATCACAAGATCGTTTTGGTGAGAGTCTCTTTCAGTTCTTTTAGGTTTAATCGTTTTCTTATTCCTCATGATGATGCGCCATGGAAGAATGTCTCTGGAGTTACATAAATGGTGTAGTATGAGATTCTCAGCAAGACTTGAGCAAAACGCATCTGTTATTTCCAACTCTGCTAGTGGTGCTTATATATCACATGAGAGCCTTAATGATCTTTTTTCAATCTCTAATCTCATTGATTTATATCGTTTCATAAAAAGGACTGCAGAATTGATCTCAATTATCATGGACGAGAGAGAGAAAGAGGAAAAGGCAGATTCTGTTTCCGTCTCGAATCTTTTTAAACGTCATTGTCATATGGTATCAAGAAACATTACTTGTTCTCCACGGCTTCTTGGAGCACATGATGCTGTTAAAGCACCCCTTGTACCCAAACTTGAGTTTCTTCAGTTCAAAGGAGCTTCAAGCTTCTACAATGATTTCGTTAGAGACCTTTCACGGGAAGAAGAAGAAGAAGAAGAAGAAGAAGCTGATGATATAACCGGAGATGTATTCGTTTTGAAAGCATTAGGTGTGCCTCAAGAGTTGTTAATCCCATTGTTCAACTCCAATACCTTAGGATCTGTCAGTGGCAAAGGAAAATATAGAAGAGCTATCAAGGAAGTTGTTGATAAGGGTTTTGATCCGACCACATTGAAAATATTCCAAGCTCTGCGTATTAGGAACAAAACAGTAGAAAGGAAAAGTCAATGTCTACTATAACAAAGGTTAGGCATGGCTGTGGGAGACATATGGGATATGTTTGATAAAGTTCTGTCATTGCCTTTTTTTTTTTTTGGTCAAAGTTCTATCATTGCCTATGTGGCAAATTTATACAAAAATAATGAGGGAAATAATATCAAAAGAAGAAAAATTACATGAAAAAGCTTATGAGTAAAGTTGTGTATGTTACTTGTTCATTGAATCATTGCCTTTTTAAGTTTTGAGTTGTTGTTCGGATTTGGATGTGGCGAAAAATACCCGAATATCGTTCACAAGCCGCAGATTTTTGCAGATTCGAGATGAAAAGTTGGCAGCTTGATAAATGGAACCAACTTGGCTTATTCAACTTCTTCTTCTTCTTTTTATTCGTCTCCTTCTCCTCCTTTGTATATGAACCTGTCACATCCTCATATCTATACACTTCTTGTGCTTGTCTTCTTCAAAGAAATGAAGGTCTAGTGTAGTTTTGGCAAGCGAATCAAATTACAATGTAGATTAGCCTGTCTGCGCATAATCAGAGTAGTAAAAGGTCGACGAGACTCGGCGTAATCGAGCTAAATAGTGCTACAAACCGTCACAATCACATGTATAGGTAATTGAGAGTCTTAATGGTTTTGTTGGATATGACGAATGACAATGAGATTGGTACCAAACCCTTTATTATTGAAATGTCTACATTGATATATACCGAGTATGATCTTATTTTTGCTATTACATGGTATGTGAGCCGGTAAAATTCTACATATGGTTAAGAAAAAGAAAAATAAGAATAAATGGTGCAACCCCAAAATAAAATCAGTAAAGGATGGAAGGAAAGAAAACATAGAGAGAAAAAAACAAAAGTTATGAAGTTTTGTGGGTAGAATCAGATGAAGAAGAAGTGAGAATGGTATCATCTTCTTCGCATTGTTTCAATAATTCACTGAAGGATGGATCATAAGCCACCACTCTTCTCAAATACTTTGCAGCTTCCTCTCTCCTTCCTTCGTTGAATATAGCACTGAACACACGAGAGATGATAAGATGAACACATTACATAAGACCAAACACTTGAGAATAGTTAACTTGTTAATCTTTCTACCTTGAGTAGAGAACCAATGCGTCCAAGTAATGAGCTTTGCTCTTGGGGTCGTTAGGCTCTTCCATGTTTGCTACTCTTTCAAGGTGTGTGATTCCTTCTGATGTCTTTCCCTAAAGCCATGAGGGGACAATTCTTTTGAGTATCAACGTGTGTACAAAGAGACAGGTCAAAACATTTGTGAATAACGCACCTGGCGAATGTTGGATACACCTGCCCACTGAGATGCAACAATTAAAAGATCCACTTCTTCAACTTCTGTTGGACAGGCATCAAGAAGCTGAGAGGATCATAATTACCTCCGCTTAATATGGTTATAGGTTTCTTACCCAGAATGTCATAAAGAATAAGATCAAAGAACATTAAAATTTCACCTTTGAAGCAGCCTGCTCTAAATACTTAGCAGCTTCAGCGAACTGGTCTTTCTGATATAAAGCCTGGCCAAGAATAACCATAGCTTGAAGATATTCTGGATCCTTTTCTAACGCCAATCTGAAAAAAACAGAGCTTAAGTCACTGGAACAGCCACATCGACAAATACAGATCCAAGAAACTGCTCTTCGCAATGTGAAGAAAACCTAGCTACATAGATACCTTAATAGCGGAATTGATTTTTCTTTGTGCCCTCCGGACAAGTATTTGGCAGAAAGCTGGTAGGAAAAGCTGTTAGCATTAGTAACAAAGATGTGGAAGATTAAATATTGTTCAAACATCCCAATCCATGACATCGACTTACAGCAACCAACTCTTTAGGGGTTAAGTTATGCACTGAGACCAAGCGTCCTTTCGAGGATGAATCAGTGTGTTGCGCTTCATTAATGTTTGTCAATATAGGATTTCCAGCCTCTTTATGAACATTGTCTTTTCCTTGTATACCCAACTTAGCACTGACAACAGGATGGTTAAGGATTGATTGCTACAAAGCCAATGCACTATATTAGAGAACCAAAGGGTACTTAGATAATTATTGTAATAGAAGAGGTAGATACAGACCATAAAGAACTAAGAAATAAAATTAGATTATTTTGCTCATAAGTGCTAGATTCCAAAATTCTAATTTCTCTGATGTAAATTCTTGTCTACCCACCCATAACCAGCATAAAGGCCAATCTCCCTAAACAGAGTAACTAAACTTTTAACTAATTACTACAGAGTTATCAGTATCTTAGGGTCAACGTCTAAGATAAGCTTTGGATCCTCAAGTCAAACACCCACATCATTCATCCTTGCCACTATATAATGGAGTTTTTCCTTTACATGAATTCAAGATTAGGAACACCCTAAATAATTTTTTGATTGCCCAATTTTTCACAAAACTCTTCATCTAACCAATTTAACTATGATCTCAAGTTTTTTCTCATTTCAAGACTCTCATTTTTTGGTCCAGAGTAAGCTTGTCTCAATAGATACCACATCATACAAACCATAAATTTGACACCATCAAAAGAAGAACACCATTTGTAGATCTTAAGAGTGAAATCTTTAGAACAAACCTGAGCTATGCTGAATGACAAATTGGTAGCCCAGTAGAGCAGACTACCCTGAGAAGTAATTATGAGAGAAAATAAGAGAAGAAATGAAACTTCTGAATAAAATACAGTATTCCTAATAGAAAGAATGGAATGAAAATGGCTGTCCCAGGGAGTAATAGTATCCTGAATTTCTGAGAGCAGTAGCTCTTAACATAACTCATCAGGACAGGCTGACACTAGGTTTACAATGGAACAACAAATGACTCCAGATTAGTAAGATGGTCTAGTTTGAATGGCAAAGTTTCAAGATCAGTCATTAACACGGGTTTAAAAAAGGATATAAGTCAAGTATATTGGAGTTTTGTGTTCTACGAAAACTTAGTTGAAGGACCTTACGATGAAACAGTATCAAATTTAATCAAGATAATGGAAACGAATGTCTGGACTAGAACCTCTTTGAACCAAAATAAGCGGAAACAGGAATATGTGAGATTCACAAGGGGGAATATGATCAGAGAGATTACTCTACCTGAGGCATTTGGAATGAAAGAAAATAAAGAGCAACTGTCAAAAAATTAAGAAATGTCTTGAAAGCCTGCAGAAGAAAACAGCAACACCCATCAATTGTTAACTATGCATAAAGAACATTTATGATATTTCCTTTTTCAGTAGAATTTGGTATTTTTACTTGATGGTAGGCAACCAAGTCTCAGTTACTTTTTAGACCAAACAGTTCATCGAAGTATATATTATCAAATAGAGACTTCCTATCCCGCCAGTTTACCAAAAAAAAAAACTAGACTTCATATTGTCAAACTGCACAATAAAGTTGAAAAACTCACTTTTGCCAATTCCGCGAGGTTTTCAACTTTGTTAACTGAAGATGCTGTCAAAGTTATCTGCAGGAAAATGTATATATATTTCAAACATGCAGGGATACAGAAAATAACAGAAGTATAGTTCAGCAGAAATTATTCTAGTTGATGCGATGTGGCATAATTTTTACTTAAGGTATCATGATCCAATAAGAGAAACAACAGTATATACCTGTGTGTTTGTGTAATGCAAACCAGCAATTAAAAAGGGGAAAAGTGGACCATAAAGACCATTGGGAATTTCAGTCAAATTCTGGAACCATAAAGCTCCTCCCTGCAACCAATGAAACAAAGGATTCTATCAAAAGGAGAGTGTGGCAGAAGACATCTTCCAAAAAGCATAATAGAAGGCCAAATATATAGCTTCAAAATATGCTCATAAGTGATCCCAATATACTGGCTGGCAACTTACCGAATCAAATCCAGGATGATGATTAAGTGACATTCTTCTTATGCTAGTTATCCACAAGAAAAAACATGAAATCTGCAGGAAGAAGAACGGAGAGAGTTAGCCTACAATTTCTTTCCACTCAAAGAACCACATTTCATCTCACGCGATACAATATATTTACACTCACTGAGAATGTTACACAAGTGGTAATAACTAAAAGACGCACTAATAACACAAAACTAGCCATCTAAGACTAAGCTCCATAACTATGGTCTCATGATTCACTAGTGGAAGAGTCAACAGGGCTACGAATCTCGACATTTCTACAGAACTATAAGTGGCATGGAACATCAGATTACTTCTAGTTCCACTAGAAGATATATGAAGTATCACCTGGATGGAGAAATAAGCAGGAACCCACAAAACCGAAGGGCACCCAATAGCCTTTCTTTCCTTCCTGAAAAGCTTCCATTGATCAATAACACTCCTTCCTGAACCCTGTGGAGGCCAGAAAGGCGGTACTACAAAAACAAAACTACCAAATCATCAGCATCTAATCATTATCAAGTGAACAAAAGATTTCATTTTGCCAATGCTTTCACAACAACCAATGCTAAGTTCTACCATTATTAGCATATTCAATCCCAAATAAGATTCATAATTTAAAGAAACAAACGGGCAAACATATACTCACACTTAGGTAAGAACTGTGAAATCCGTTTAGTTTGCTTGCGCTGCAGAATCAGTACAGGAAGCAAAGCTGTTCTGAAAGCCACAGTAGACGAAGCAATCACTACCCACCTGACCTGACCAATTCATCTGAGGCAAATTAACAAAACTAATAAATTTCGCAAACACACACAAACTCCAAACTAAAACAAGACTCTTGATTTGTCAATTACTATGTGAAAGCTCGAAACTTTCCATCAATTTGAATTGAAACAAGCAGAGAACTAATCATACGACATAAACCCAAATCAGAACTAAGTATAGTATTTTACCAAGGCAATCCAGTAAGGTCATGGTATGAATCAAGCAACGAGATCACAGGTCGAGTCAAGTAATCAAAGTTTGACACACTAGCTCCGATCAAATCATTGCTTAAGTCGCCGAACTCTAATCCATGACCATTGCTTACAAATCCATCGATTGAATCGTCTCTGAGTCGAGTCAGCTCAGAGTCCATGTCAGAGGGAGTGGAAAAGAATCGGGATTGGAAAAGACCGAGAGAGATCGACGGTTGTGCCGGAGCGGAGACATGGTGAGGAGAGAGAGAGGAGTAAGTGTGACGAGATCGGCGGAGGTGAGAGAGTAAAACCCTACGAAATGCCATTTACGGTGATGATGACTGTACGGTTCGTTCTTGATGTATGAAAAAGTCACTCTGTTTTCGGATTTTTTTTTATTTTTTATTTTTTATATATTTTTGACATTTAACTGTTTTGTATTTGTGAAATTGAAAATTCTAGTATGTCAATCTCATTATTGAATTTGATTTGTAAATTATAATTATGTGTTATTACACAGTATTTAAAGATATTGAAATTATGTGTTACTGTATTATTGAAATATGAGGTACGTATTCTTACAAATTGTTTAAAAATATATACATATGTAGACAATTACTCAAAATTAGTATTTCTTATCAAAGTTGGACATGTTTTGGTCACTGTTACAGAATACTCAAACCCTTGTCAATATATTTTATATACTCAAAAAAAATACTTATATATACTCAAAACATCGTTATTAACAGAAATGTTTATCATTGGAAGCTATAAGCATTGTTGAAGGTCTAGTTATTGCATTGTTAGGCTCTGAATGCTAACGTCATTTGGTTGCGGTGCAGTGACCCTGATGAATGATAAGGTGATTTGGAAGTGGTTCATTTCATATGTGTGGAGAGTGTGATTAGTGTTACTCAAAATACAAAAAACTTCAAATCACGATGTTAGTTAATCGCATTGCTCTCAAATCACATCGCTCCCGCAATCGAATCTAAATCGCACTTGAAACGAATTACCATTTAGTGAAATACTAAAAGCATATAAATTCTCCTTTTGTTTCTAATTAATTCAATTGTTAGGTTTCTGCACATATTAGAAAAATATATAAAAGTTGATTATATATAAGCATCATTTTTTATAATTTTCTATAAAACAATACATTTTGAAACCTAAGAAGTTGAAACAATCTTGACTTTTTTCTCTTGAAAATTGGATTAATTCAAAAATAAGGAGTAATAATAAAGAAAACTCAAGAATTCAAAAGACTTTTTCAATTAACAGAAAAATATTAACCGCAACCTAAAAATTGGTACAAATTAACTGATCATTATATAATCATAAATCAAGTAAGAAAGAGATCCATCTGAGACTTATTCTCTTGACCAATAACATCAAGAAACACAGGATCAACGGTTACAAAACTATCCACGTGTACCCTAAAACTATGATCCCACCACATAACCTTAGCCGCTCCTTCAATCGTAAGCTTAGCCTCAAGTTTCATCTCTCTCTTCGCCACGTCAGAAAAGAACTGCCGCGCGTGTTGCGCAAGCTCCATCCCGTTCAGACGCGCCGGTAGCCGGAGAAGCTGACAAGATCTCGCCGGCTGCGAGCCAGCTTTGACCTCGGCCGAGCCAAGAACCGTGCCATCGTAGAGGATAGTCATTGTGGTTGATGAGTAATGGATTGCTGCGATGTTAGGGTTTGTTACGTGTACTGTAAGCATTAGCTCTGCGTCTAGGACAGGGAGGTTAAGTTTCAGTGAGGTTAGGTCTATGGAGATAAGGTGGAACGTTGGATCTTTTGGCTTGGCGCTTAGGAGTGAAGCTGCTGCTGTTGCTGATGCTGCTCCTATTAAAGCTGAGCTCCAGCTCCATTTTAGCTTTTGGTCTCTAGATCCCATTTCAAGATCTTACACTCTTTTGTTCTTTGTAGCTTGAGGTGGAGGAGGAGGAAGAGGAGAGCAACTTTGATTTTGGATTGTGCCGACCAGAACGAGGAAGCTATCGAGATTGAGAAGATTGAAAATACTGAAATGGCCTTGAGTTTTATTGTTGCTATAGGAAACGTGACATGGGTGTTTTTGTCATTCGGATAACTAGTTGTGTTATTGTTCGAGTGGGTGAATTTATATGGTTCTAAAGTATCTTGAAACAATCACGGACCAAACTCACATCTAGAGTGAGATAATATACTGTATTGGCATATATAAAGTTATCAAGAGAAATGTTCGTTGGCATATCTAAACAAGTCAAAATCAAAAGAGAATGCATTAGACAGTATTAAAATGTTTTTTCATTTTGTAAAATCTCTAAGCGAATAGTAACATCAGAAACGTGAAAGAGTAAAGTGACTCGGAGTTGTTGGCTCTACCTACTATATTTTTTTGTAATCTCCTTTAGGAATAAAGCTAAGGTGATCATTGGTCCGGTGCTTCGGTTCGGAGGAAAGCAATTTCCAGGGTGTGATGGGCGAGTACTGTGTAAAGGCCAGGGTACACATTCACCGCAGCATGATGATCCGTGATTATAGTAGTGATTTCAACTTCATGCTCCATCCAATTCGAAGTAACCACGACTAAAAGTAACTAATTTTCTATAAACATCTAAGCCGGATCAATTAGTAGTAACCACCAGGTGGTGGGCTAGTGGTTCTATTTTGGTGGAAGAGTCGCCATGTTGGTACAAGACAGGGATCGATTTTTCCCAAACCAAAATTGCTAACTTTATCTCTTTGTCCACATGAGTATGGGAATATTTTTTCCTCAGTGATTAGTCTCGGATCCTTCCAAAGGTTTAAGGATTTACCATGAGTTATCAAAAAAAAATCAGTTAGTAATCGCTCTTCTTTTTCATTAGTTGATTCATAAAGAATAACAAAATCGTCATCGCTATGTCTGACATCTTTTGCTTGCATTCTTTAGTTGAGTGGATGGACCAAACTTTTTGATTTCTAAGTTGTACTTCCATGTTTTGGTTTTTTTTTTTTTTCATAAAACCATTTGATAAAGATTTATAATCATCGATTTTAGGTACTTAGCAAATCTAAAGACGATCTAGAAAACTACGGTTCAAAATTCGATTTTGTTTTCAACGATTTAAAAAATTAAGTAGGCATTAAAGAATCATCAATAATTGAGAGTTTGATGAAAACATTGAAACAAAATCTAACGGTTGATTACAAAATAACATGATAAGAAAAGGAAAAAAAAAAGGTATGAAAAAAGCTTGGGAAGAAAAAGAAAATTTTAAAGTACTATAATTATCACAAAAGCAGACTTGCATGTTATCACAAAAGCTTGAATCCTTCACTATACAATATCCCAATCAATCTCTCTTAATTTCAATAGCAACTAAACTAATCATCCAACCCATGTTTACAAAATTAAACTATATGATAGCCACACACACACAAAAAAAAATGTTTATCTCACCGGCAGTTCCATTTACAAATCAAATCAATTAGACAAGTAGTACTATATGGAAACTTTGAATAATTTGTATCAATGGTTCAAAAATTCCAAAACCAATGTGAATAAGATAATTAAGGCCGTATCTAATAAAACATAACAAAACCAAGATGAGAGAGTATTATTTGCATAAACATTTCTCTAAGACAAAATATAGAATCAACAAGAACTCTCAACTCTAAGGCGTTGAGGTCTACTTCCTCTAGCACCAGCATCATCTCCAGCATCAGCCATTAACGCAGCTCTAGCAGAAACAATCTGACTCGAAGTAAAAGAAGCATCAAAGGCTGAAAAATCCATCCATCCCATAAGCAACCCTTCTTTACCCCAACTGTCCGGTATAGGAACTTTTCCAGCAACTTCTTCTCTATGTCTCTTAAGCCTCTCACGTCCTGACAACACTGTTGTCTCAGGCAAACATGTCTTGCTTTGTTTCTCTACCGATATATGATCTTTCTGAGAAGATCTTGGAGAGTTTGGTTCCTTGGTTTCTTCAGGCAAATGGGTGTTCTTCATTTTCTTGAAAATCTTTGGTTTTGCAATAGAGAGATTTTAGTGGTTTCGACGTGTGTGTTGTGTATATAAGAAAAAGGAAGAGTTAAAAGAGAAGAGAGAAAACAATATACAAGGTTGAAAAGGAAGGAGAGAATGTGACAGAGATATGTGGTGGCCGTGTCTTCTTGTAGGATCACATATATTAAGTATTACCATTCTATGGTCTTTGACGTTTCTACGTCTCATGAGTCGCCATGACATGTTTTTTTTATTTTTTTCTTTATCGGTTACATAAAATGTTAAACGTCGAAAATATTTAAATATATTTCTGTTTTAAATTATAAATGGGCAGATGTAATGTAACAGTTTGTTGATTATTATATGTACATTAATTTCAGGTTAATTATAGTTTTTGTATTTTTATATCTATATATATAAAGTTACATTTTCTCTCTTCTCATTCCGCCACATCAGAGCTACATCATCCGCCACATCATCAACTTTTTAAAAAAAAATTATTAATAATCTCAAAAGGGCATGAGCTTGAACCTTGAGGCCCAACGGTTACACAACAATCAAACCGGTTAAGGAAGATCGGAAAAATGTCGGATACACGAATTTGAAACTGGATAGTTCAACATCGTATACAACAATCAAATCGGTTAAGGATAAATCGGAAAAACATCTAGTAGAACCGTTGTTTACAAGAGCAACTCCTTTGCAGCTATGCACCGATTTTGAAACCATTGCCCGGAGTACACAGATTTAAGCATAGGAAGAAACCAAAAACAAGGCAGATCCCAAAAACATCTATCATGAAAATAGAATAACAAAAATGACACCAGTAAAAAACTAACAAAAAACGTTAAAGAAAATCATAATATAAATTAAAAATTCAAATATAAATTATAAACCTCCCGCGCGCAGCGCGGATCAACAACTAGTATATATATATATTTCACGGTAATTTGTATTCTTGTCTGGAAATGATTGGTAAAATTAGAATTTAATTAAGGTAGCCACTCTTGCAAACACTAGTTGTTTTGTCCAAAATAGATAAAAATATACTTTAGGCCAAATTTTGTTATATGTATATATATAATGTGTTTTTTCTTCCTTTTTTTGTTAAAAAAATTTGTGTAAGGCCACATTTTGACATACCATCATATTTTTTATGTAAAATTAAATGCACGGTTAACAAATAACTTGCTATGTTTACACATTTTTAATATTGGTTTATTATTTTGTGATTTTTGTTATTTGTTTTGTGGGTAAGTTAATTACATTTTGTCACAGTCTATTATTTATGGACACCACATGCATAACAATAATAATCAAAACATGTCGTTTTAAACATATATGTTCATATCTTAAAACAAAATGTTTTAGTACTTTCGTTATAAATTCATTATTTTTTTAATAATTTATTTGAAAGATACATATTGTTATATTATATTATTTTTCAATTGATATGTGTGGCTTTGCTACATCCTAGATATTTTTTTGGAGCCTCTCTTCTCAGATCTTTCGTTATTTCCACTTTGGGAAGAAAACAACGTAGCAAGAAGAATCAATTTTGTCTCTCCTTTACGTCACAACTCTCACACGCCATGAAAGTCACATTTCTCTTTTTCTTCTTCATCAGTCAAAATTTTGAAGTTTCAAAACATATGAAAACATTCTTTATACTTCAAGAAACTGATAATGTTAATGTTAACGCAAATACATATCTTTGGAAACATATTTTACGTGACTTTGAATACTGATAATGACACAAAACACAAAAAACCATCAATCTATGTAATTAGTTTCACTTAAACAGTTAAACAATATGATTAGGTTTCTTTTTTTTCTTTGAAATAATATTGAGGATTGGGTCCATATGTTAAAGCATCAAAATCAAAAGGTTGCATCGTAACTAAGCTTCATCTCTCTCCCCTGGCGTCTAACTTAGCTTCATCTCTCTCTCTCCCCTGGCGTCAACTTCATTTGTAAGCCACAAAACAAGATATATTGCAACTTGCAATAGCATCTGTCCACTCATGTTGTGATCATACTCATAATTTCTTTTTGTCGACTGAAAGCAAATGTGTGAAAACTGACAATTTCTTTAAAAGAATAAAGGAAAATATAAGGTTCGATGAATTTGTTCGTATGTAACACAATAACCAATGCAAATTTATTAACTAACTAAATAAATATTTACTATTAACTAGCTAATACAAAATTCTTGACTAACTAATAAAAAACAATTTATACTGTAAAATTAAACAATTTAACTAAAATTGAACTAAGAATGACAAATGAAACAAAAAGGAAGCAATATGCAAAAGACTACCACATTTGTAAAACAAACAAAGCGAGAAATAAGCAAGATACTAGGCAATAAGTAAAAAGTGAATCCATGTGTAAAAATATTTGATTAGGTACCACAAAGAGATGGAAGATGGAGTTTCAAACAACTTGTAACAATCAGTGATCCTTGTGGAATAAACACCAAACAAGAGAAATCTCTCTTTACTAATTATCCAATTATCTACTTTTTCAACAGCAATCGAATGATTAAATAGCATTAGTAACCTATTTAGTCACTATTATCCTAGTCAACATTTTTCAATGACAAGGAATGAAAAGCTCTTTCGGTTCGGGAATTTCATCGAACACTTTTGGGACGTGAAGTTACTAAGACTATATTCAACATGATCAAGGTTGATGAAGCATAATTAATGATCTCTAGTATGGAAGCTAAAACACTCTAGCCGTAAAATCCATAACCCAACTCCTAATCAAATTAATCTATAAAAACTAAAAGACTCCTAAGAGACTAGTCACTCATGATCATGAAGACACAAAGCAATGGGTTTGAGGGGTGTCAAAATGGGTTGAACTTAATGAGTCAACCCAAACAAATCGAATTCATAAATCTAATGAGTTGGAAATTTGGGTATTAATGGATTGATGGGTTAAAATGGGTTAACGAGTTTAGTGAGTTGGGTTGTAATGGTTTGGGTTGAAATGGTATAGTGCATTATCTATAACCAAACCAATAAAAGTTGAACAATCTTAAATCAAAAAGATAAACCAAATATAAACAAATCAAATGTCTAAACCAATTTTATCAAACCACAAGCCTAATTTAATTAGATCTCTTCCATCAATCTCTCACAACCTAAAATTTTCCGCCAAAAACGTGATTCTATCTTTTTCCCACCAAAAACGTGATTCCATATTTTTCCTGCCAAAATCGTGATTTTGTAATCTTTCCGCCAAAAACGTGATTCCATTGTTTCCTTCCAAAAATGTATTTCTAAAAGAAAAATTCCATGTCGACCCTTCAACTATCATTGTACCCAGTGCCGGCCTGTCACATATGTCGCGCAATACAAAATAATTTTTTTTCAAAGGTTTTATGGATAAAATTTAAAATTTGAGACCAGAGCTTAAAATTTCAGAAAATAAAGCCTATTTGTGAAATAATAAATAGATAAAATTTAATCATGTAGAACATAAATTAAATTTTGTAAAATATGGGGCTTAATTTTGCAAAACCAAAATATTTTTGGGGTCTATTTTCTTATTAAAAATGCCAAAAAATGGCCCAATACTAATGTTTTTAAAAAATGGGTCATGGGCCGGGCCTGATTATACCTATAAATACTACAAGGTACAATGTGTGGAAGGACATCCAAGGTTTTCCGGAGAGCATAACACCAATAACTTGTTTCGTCTAGACACTCAACATATCTAAGTACACCATCCATGAATTCCTTCTTCAGTTACAAGCCTTGTTTTACGATCGATTAAGCGTAACACAAAACCCTCCCTGTAATTTCCTAAGTCATGGGTTGTAATAAAAATATTCCTTTTCTTAAGGTTTCAATTTAAATTTTAACTTGCATTTCCTCTCTAAAAATATCTATCCTACAATCTCTAATCATGTTCTTGCAGAGACTACTTCTACCCAACTGGTCCAAAATGGTTATTTTCCAAGTGTTATTACAAATGGTATTGGGCTTTATTATATGTCTACCCTATTGTATTGTAATAGAGTACATTAAGCCTTTTTAGTGTATCTTCGTCCCCCTTATGAAACCCTAATCACTAGTTACAAAAATTTCCGTCTCTCCTTCTCCTATCCGTGCGGCGACGCAAGAGGTAAATCTTTGCCTTTTCAGTACCTTTTTTAAAATTCTCTTATTTTCTCCGGTTTATCGAGATTACTGAATTTCTTAAGACTTTGTCCGGATTTTTTTGTTTGAAGTAGAAAAGAAATCTACATATTTTGGTTCAAGATCTTTTGAAAATTTCAAAGTTAAAATTCTATTCCCAATATACAGATCTAAATTCTGAAGCTTTACATGATTTTAGCACCTTTATTTTTAAGCTAATAAATTCTTAAATTTTTGTATCAACTGATTTCTCTTTTATTTACTTTGTTGTTGTTAAACTTAAAGTCAAACTGAAAGAACTCTATTTGTGCAAAGCTTTAGATTTCATGGAAGTCAACAACGACATAGCAAATTAAAAATGGGATCAGAACTCAACCCAGATTGGACTGAGTTGACTTGGGAATGTCTCATCAACATATTCTCACGGTTGAGCATGGAACAAAGGTGGGGTGGACCTATGTTGGTTTGCAAGACGTGGATGAACGTGTGCAATGATCCGTTGCTTAACTCGGTCTTCGATCTCGAGACTGGGTTTCTATCTTCCATCGAAACGTGGAACTGGTGGACTTCCGAATTTGCGGAAAAAGTGGACTCAACGCTCATGTCTGTTGTTGAACGAAGCAAGGGTGGTCTCAAAGAGATTCGAGTGAGGCATTGCACAAATGAATCTCTCTTTTATGTGGCTGATAGGTAAGTCTATGGATAATTCTTATATTCTTGATTCCATGAAAGATTTTATCGAATTATATTATAATGTCGTCATATATTAAAAGTCTTGAAGTAACATATAAGGTACATGCTTCTTGATAAATTAGTACGTCGAATTTGAAAATATTCTAAATATCTAACCACATTCCATGTTCAATGATATGATTTGTAGATGCCCTAATCTTGAAGTACTTTCGGTTAAGCACTGCCCAAATGTTACAGCTGAACCAATGAAGATGATTGCCTTAAAGTGCCCTAAGATCATGGAACTTGATTTAAGCTGCACTTATGCAATAAGTCATGAGTGTATGGTAATGTTTGGTGAGAATTGCAAGAATCTTCAGGTTATGAAACGAAACAATGTGCCTTTATCCGAGGTCTGGATGTTTGAGTCTTATGAAAACTACATGGCGAATCAACCTATCTTTACTCTAGTGAACATTGATGCTCATGCGATTGGGTTTTACATGCCTCAGCTTAAGCACCTGGAGGTTCGATACTTAAAAATGAGTGATAATGCTCTTGCTTGTATTTGTAAAAACTGTAAGAAATTAGAGTATCTGGACTTGTTCGGGTGTCCAAACTTGACGATGAGCGGTGTGATTAACAGTACCTCGACTTTGAAGAACTTGAAGGAGCTCAAGATGCCGGATTTTACAGGTTAATTATTTTCGTTAATTTCCTATGGTTTTGTGTTAATGCTATTTTTTCTTCTTAGTTGAACATGTCAGTTAAACTCTTCTTTTGAGGTTTCCTTTACTTTTTCTTTTAGTTGGACAATAAATAACTATTTTCATTTGTAATAAGATGATTGGATTATATTATTTTGTCCGCAAAAGTTTATATTTTAAAACCAAGTGGTTGTGGTCTCGCTAGTGGTTTTTTACTGAGGAGAAGTTGCCATGTAGGTCTAGATCACGAACCAATTCCTATCAAGTGGAAAATTTACTAAATACCTCTATTGCCTATTCAAAATGGTGTCATATGTAAGGCCCATAAACACCTGGTGATTAGAATACTCGACAATTACACTTCCAGATTGGTTGGTGGTCAAAACCTGGATCACCCCTAATTGAATTTGAACATGTCAGTTAAACTCTTCTTTTGAGGTGTTCTTTATCTTTTCTTTTAATTGGTTTTTATTTTGACAAATTGGTTTATTCTTTTATTGTTTAAGAAATATTTAGAATATATTTCTTAACTGACGGCCAGTTAGGTACGTGCGGGAGAATGTAAAAGATTTGTTTACCGACCTTATAAATCAGTATGAGATATTTCTCTGTGCTTTTTCCTCACTCGCATTGTTCCCCCAATCATTTCCTGGAAAATCATCAATCCTGAAACTATTTCAGCATAAACACGCTTAACTGTGGAGTTCTCTAGGGATGTCTAACACAACAAACGATATGTGTACTTTTATGACAAAGATAACCAAATCAATTCCTTTAAACCGCTTCGCATATACTGCCATATTCCCGACACCGAGGTGTTACATTTTTAATTTTTAAATTTTAATTTTATTGTAATTGTAATCATTACAATTGTATTTATAAATGTATTAAATATAAATTGGAATTTAAATTATGAATGCAATAAAGTTAATTAAAATCGTAACTATAGTTCTTAATTTTTAATTTTAATTTTAAAATTAAAACTATAACTGCAATAGGCTCGAGTGTCTCACTTTTTGAAAAATTAAAAACATAATAGCAAAACAACGTCGTTTGTCGTACACAATGCCACTTCACTCTCACATTATGACTCTGTGTGAGCATCTCCTCTCATCTATGATACAATTTTTTAAGTATAATTGTCATAATTTTTGTCTTCTTTCTTTCATCACTTATTTAAACAATGGTATAGTTGTTTTTCTAGCTAATTATCTTTGTTGTGTGTAATCAGTTCATACTTCTATAAAGAGTAAGCGTTTTATGTTATAAAACCCTTAAAGAAAATGAAATTCCAAAATTTTATTTCTATCCAACTGACCAAAAAATGAACCTGTTTGAAGTTTGCATTGGATTTGTTATATGTCAAATCCATTGTAATAAAGTACACTATACTTTTTAATGAATCGTTGTCCCCTTTTCGCTACCCTAATAACTAGTTGCACAACTTGTAGTGTGAATCAATTCATAGTTGTAGGAAGGGTAAGCCTTTTATGTTACAAAACCCTTCAAAAAAATTGATGTTCCAAAATTTATTCTATCCAACTGGCCCAAAACGGTTTATTTCAAAGTTATTTACAAATAATATTGGGCTTTGTTATATGGGTAACCCATGTAAGAAAGTACATTAAGCCTTTTAACGTATCATCGTCCCCCTTTTGAAACCCTAATTATTAGTGGCAAAAATTTCCGTCTCTCCTTCTCCACCTGCTGCGGCGATGCAAGAGGTAAATCTTTGCATTTTTCTGTATATTCTAGAATATTCTTGTATTTTCTCTAGTTTATCCGGATTATTGAATTTCTTTTGACTTTCTCCACAATATTTGTGTTTAAAGTAGAAAAGAAATCTACAGATTTTCGTTCAAGATGTTTTGACAATTTTGAATGTTAAAATTATATTCCCAATATAGAGATCTAATTTCTGAAGCTTTACATGATATTTGCACCTTCATTTTTCAACAAATAACTAATAAATTTGTAAAACTGTATTGTCAACAGATATTTAGGTTATTATCTTTGTTTTTTGACTGAATGTAAAATTGTAGTATAAATTTACAGAAAAACTCTATTACAATATATGTTTCATAGAGAACTAAGAAGGAAACTAGACTGAAAGTATTTTTGTATTTTTTCTTTTCTAATTTCCATTATATCAGAACAATTAACAGTCTCTCTTTTATTTATTTTGCTGTTGTTAACGTTAAGTCAAACTGAAAGAACTCTATGGAAGTCATGGAAGACATAACAAATGCAAAGAGGGGATCAAAACTCGTCCAAGACTGGACTGAGCTGACTTGGGACTGTCTCATCAACATATTCTCACGGTTGAGCATGGAAGAAAGGTGGAATGGACCTATGTTGGTTTGCAAGACATGGATGAACCTTTGCAATGACCCGTTGCTCAACTCGGTCTTCGATCTTGAAACTTGGTTTCTATCTTCCACCGAAACGTGCAACCGGTGGAGTTTCGAATTTTCGGAACAAGTCGACTCAATGCTCATGTCTGTTGTTGATCGAAGCAAGGGTGGTCTCAAAGAGATTCGAGTGAGGCATTGCACGGATCAATCTCTCTTGTATGTCGCTGAAAGGTATGTGTGTTTGGACAATTCTTACATTCTTGATTCCAAAAAAAGATTTTTATAGAACTATATTATAAGATCGTCCTACATTAAAAGTCTTGAATTAATATATGCTTCTTGATAAATTACTATGTCGAATTAAAAGTAGTCTTAGTATCCGAATATCTAACAAAATTCCATGTTTAATGATATGATTTGTAGATGCCCTAATCTTGAGCTACTTTGGGTTAAGCATTGCCCTAATGTTACAGTTGAATCGCTTCAGATGATAGCCTTAAAGTGCACTAAGATCATGGAACTTGATATGAGCTCCTCTTATGCAATAAGTCCACAGTGTTTGGAAATGTTTGGTAAGAACTGCAAGAATCTTCAGGTTGTGAAACGAAACTATGTGTCTCCATCTGAGGTCTCGATGTTCGAGTCGTATGAAAATTACATGGAGAATTTCCCTACCTTTATTATAGGGAATGTTTATGTTCATGCGATTCAGAGTTCCATGCATCAGCTTAAGCACTTGGAAGTTCGATACTTAACAATGACTGATAAAGCTCTTGCTAGTATTTGTAAAAAATGTCCAAAACTAGAGTATTTGGACTTGTTCGGGTGTCCAAAGTTGACGATGGATGGTGTGATTAACAGTACCTCGACTTTGAAGAATTTGAAGGAGCTCAAGATGCCGGAGTTTACAGCTTGATATTTCGCCATTAATCTCTTCTATGGTTTTGTGTTAATGCTATTTTCTTTTTCTCCTTGGTTGCATTTGAACAAGTCAGTTAACTCTTCTTTTGGGGATTTCTTTACCTTTTGTTTTAATTAGACAGCAAATGATTCTTTTAATTTGTGAAGAAAATGATTGGATTAATATATTTTCATTCACAAAAATTTATCTTTTAAAATCAAGTGGTTGTGGTTCAGCTAGTGGTTTCCTCTTGAGGAGAGTTGTCATGTAGGTCTAGATCATGGATCAATTCTTGAGGAGAGTTGTCATGTAGGTCTAGATCATGGATCAATTCTTTTCAAGCGCAAAAATTTACTAAATCACTCTATATGATTAGTCAAAATGGTGTCATATTTCAGGTCCATCAGAAAATCCGGTGATTAAAATATTTGACGGTTACACTAGGGGATTAGTCGGTGGTCAAAATCCGGATCACCCTAATTTAACTTGTACACGTGAGTAAAACTCTTCTTTCGGATTTTCTTTATCTTTTCTTTTAATTTGACAAAAACTCTTGTAATTTCTAAGGAAATTATTGGATTATATTTTATTGGTCATAAAATATATTTGTTAAACATAAGTGGTTGTGGTATAGCTATTTTGAGGAGTAGTTGCCATCTAGGTCATTCAAGGCCAATAGATCAATTCCCTTGAAACGCGAAATATAATAATCACTCTATTGGTCTAGCCTAAATAGTGCCATATTTTAGATCCATCAGAAAAACCGGTGGTTAAGCTAGTCGACGGTTACACTAGAGGATTTGTCGGTGGTTAAAACCCGGATCACCTTTAATATGTCAGTTAGACTCTTCTTTTGAGGATTCCTTTATCTTTTCTTTTAATTGGTTTTTATTTTGAAAGCATCATTAATTCATTTGAATTTTGTTCACAAAAATTTATCTTTAAGGGACTTTGGTCTGGCTAGCGGTTTATTCTTGAAGAGTTGCTATGTAGGTCTAGGCTATAAATCTATTTCTTTTAAATGCATAATTTAATAAATCTATTCGACTAGTCGAAATGATGTTTTATTTTAGATTCATCAGGAAATCCGGAGGTTAGGCTACTCGACGGTTATACTTAAGGATTAGTCCGTCGTCGAACCCGGATCACCACTAAAGTTTTTTTAGACTAGTTTACACTAAGATTATATATAATAAGAAAAGCTATATAATATTGTGGTCTTTATGTTTTGAATGCATGAAATGATGGAAGAGTGGATTGTATATATATTTTTTTCTTGAATAACTAAGAGGTTTTGGGTCGAATCACATACATTTCTTGAATAACTAAGAGATTTTGGACCGAAACACATACATCCTCTTTCACCCGAGACCTTGTTATATAGTCTTGCCCCAAATGCTCAAGAGTGGATTGTATTGTTATGTAGCATTTTCGGAAAATTACTATGTGAGAATTAAGAAGTACTGAAGATAAAATATTTTCAGCTTTTACAAAAACACAATGTAGTCTCTTCAAATTTTATTTTTTATCCACACTCACATTACAATACATGATCAAAGGATCCAATTACAAAGATTACAAATGCAATTTTAGAATACGAGACAAAGACGCAAACAACACACATGGCCATCCCGGAGATACGTTATATGACTTATGAGTATAATATATGAAACGACATGATCCTTATATACAAACCCCAAATTTTATCTCAACATAAAATATAGAGATATAAATATTTATTTTATATATGTTGTATAGATATATAATAAAGTGACCAAATATATAAATATTATATGCAAATTACACAAACTCTCTCATATGCCTCTCTCTTAATATATCTACCACCCTGCACTAGCCATCCTCCGAATCTTTCTCAGTTTGTCTCCACTCTTCTCTTTTGTCACTTGTTTGCTTCTATTTATTATCTACATATATAAGCCATTTCATTAATTAGTTATCTTCCAAAACAAAACACATTTAATTTTGTAAAACTATTTGTTACATAACGATATTGTTACTACTTTATAAAACCCATGCAAAATCATATAATATAAAGTCAACTTTGAATCCAACAATTTTCACACATAAAATCCAAAATAATGTGTTTTGATAATTCGTTAAGTAACTGTTTTAGTATTACCTCTTGTCTTCTCTTCTTCTCATTATCCTCCTACCAATAAAAAGGTATAAAATATAAATGGTTAATATGATATTATTTTTCTTTAATACATAGTTATTATGACATTTTTATTAAAAAATCAAGAAATTACCACAGTTTTCTTCAGCTTAGTGTTCTCTTCAGTGAGGTTGTTCAGTTCCAACTCCAATTCCACAGTATATGCCTATTAATATATCCAAAAAGAAATAAAATTGCAAACCGGATTTAACCAAATGACATTAGTCATGTTATATACAAAATGTAGTTGCTATAAAATTTGTGGTTCATAACTCCGACTTACTTGTCTCCGGGCACGAGATCGAGCAGCCGATTCGCGGTTTTTGATCATCCGTCGTTGTCTCCGCTCCATCAAAATCTCCGGTGGACCGTCAAGGATCCGTTTCTTGATCCGGAAAGAATCTACACCGGTCATATACTGGTTATTACCCCTACCATTCCCGGTCATACAGCTTGCAGAATCTCCCAAAACCGGATAATACTGTCGGTTCTCACTATAAACCGACCGGTTATCACCAAAATTGTTTTGGTTCTGACATTGTAAACCGACTCCGGATCCAAACTCCGGGTTATTATTATAACCAAAGTCAGAACTAGACATCCTCATCGTTGTCTTCAATGGTTCTTGCACAACACCAGCCTTAACAAGAAAGTCCTCAAGAGTGATCTCACCAAGTGTTTGTTGCCGGCGGATATCCTCGTCGGAGTTCTGTCGGGAAGCTGACGACGGCGGATGCTGTTGCACACCGTTTTGTATCTCAAGCCAAACCTCATCAACAGTTTTCTTGCACAAAGGCACGGGAAGAGACAACGAACCTTGCCGTGGCAACACCGTAGGCTTCTCTCCCTCATGGTGAACCACACTTCCTCCTCCGTTGTTGTTGTCGTTCTCTTCAACGGTCGTCCACAAGTTCGCTAAGAACTCATCCATGTTCATAGCACCAAAGCTCTTACCACTTTTCATCTGAATCTCGTCAAGAGTTAGCGACAAGATCGAGTTCTGTCTCCCGACCGGAGCCTCCTCAACAGGTTCTTGCATAAACGCTTGCGGGAGTTCATGGTTGTACACATGAAAGGTCGAAGTCTCCGATTCAAAAACAGCCGACATCGTTTGAACACCTAGATAACATGCATTCACATATGAGATAAGTTTATACCAAAGTAATAATAATACAAGAAAAGATAAGTTTTGTTACCTTGAAGGAAGAGGAAGAAGAAAGGAGAGAATAGTTTAGGATTGTGTCAGTGGAAACTGATACTTATAAAGTGAAGAAGAGGCGGAGTCTACAATGGTGTAGTGTAGATATATATATATGCATATGCAAATGCATGCATGCGAGTGAATATTTATTTATTTTTTCATTTTTTTTTAATTAAAACACGTTTATTGAAGTAGTAGTGAAGAAGAGAGTGTAAAATTTTGTAACTGACAAAAGCCAAAAAAATAAAAAATATTTTTGACATTTATTAATAATGGTACGTCGAATCTGGATTACATTATTTTTTTGCCCTTTTTCGTATATTGATTGACACGTTCATGACACTTGTCTAAAACGTTCTGCTAAAAATTCTTATTCTGAAATTGTTATCTTTGTTGTTTTTTTACTCATATACGGATTTGTTTTTTTTTACCTTGTAGCTCATTGGCCAATCACTGAATCGTATTGTAAATTTTGTTTGAATGTTTGATATAACACAATAGTTTAATATTTTCAAGTTCTTACAGTATATTTTCTACACGTTTACAATATATTTGAAGTGTTTTTTATATTACAATATGTTGTACTCGACGCAGGTAGTATCTTCTAGAAGTTTGTTTTATAACATGATATACGTTTTCATAAAGCTACAACTATTTATATACTATAAATATACTATAGATAAAGACACAACTATATATACTATAAATATAAATGTGTCTGTACATAGAAATTTTGTATACGAATAAGTCGGGTTGGGGAATTTATTATAGTGACTTTTGGTTCCAATTGGTAACATGTGTTTATTAAAATTGAGTTATAATAGATATTACAATTTGATGTAGTTTGTAGTAAAAATTATATAGTAAAACTGTAGATATATAATGTCTTGAGTACTGTTAAAATATGATTTGATTAATTTTATCATGACAGTTAATGGGTAAGATTTTGCTGTAGATGTTTTAGTATATGTACTATTTAATTAAATTCAATTTTTTAACACTAAGTAAATCTTATTTTAAAATTGAAATTAGTGAATAAATTTAAGAAGAAGTTTTAAGAATAATAATATTAACTTAAGAAAAGTTTACTAACAAATGTAACTTTGTTGTATTTGAGAAACTTTTATTTCATGCATTACTAAATTATATTTTATATAGATTAGAGACTCTTGTATAGTATTCACTATACACCAATGCACATGCTTTTATACAGTTTTACAAGGTCTTTAGAAGATTTTACAATGTATTTATAAGATTTTATAAGGTATTTTTTTTTAACTTTTCATACACGTATAAATGTAGTTTGAGTATATCTCAGATATGTTGGAGTATTTTTATAATATTTTAGGAAAAAGACATTTTTAAAAAGTTGTATTGGAAATAAGCATTTTGAAATTCATCGAAAGAATAATTAATTAAAATTTTTCATTAGTTCAAATAGTGAGATGTTAGTTTTTTAAAAGAAAAAATCAGCTCATACGTTATAAACTTTTAATTATTTCACTTATATTCGCCATAAATTGCGATTACTTTTTTCCTAAAATTAAGCCTTGATTCAATCATTTTCGCCCGTTACTTTATATTAAAAAAATTCAAACAAAACAAAAAATGACCTAATTGAAATAATAATATTTTATTTCTTGTAATCTAGTAGTTTAGTTTGTAACGTCTAAGAGAAGCATTGAATTTTTAAACAAGTTGGGTATTAGGTTAGGAATAGTAAATAGAGCCGTTTCGTTGACTAGAAAATTATCATATATAACCTCATCAAAATCCATTAACACTTAGTCATTATAATGACTTTGGAACTGAAATGGCCATACAAAATTATCTTTTCTTGTAGTGGTAAAGATGTATGTCAAAAATACAAAGATTTTACATATACAAATTCAACTTTTTTGTTAATCAAAATAAATGAATCAAGAAACAATGATGAATAAAATAGAAATCATGACTTACTCCCTGTCTCAACGATCAATTTTTTTGGTCTGTATAATGGTAGATCTTCTCCTAAAAGAAGTGATTTTAAAATTGCCTCGCATACTCTATCGTAGTGTATGAACAAGTGACCACCTTTAGGGACCTCATGGTTTATAATCCATGGTAGTTGGTGGCACAAACATCTTTACAGTTGAAAGACATCACTTTGTCTTCATAACCTTTCCTTATTTGAATAGAAGAAGAGCTCTTTTCGGGTCCAGATGGAAACAAGCAGGTAGGTCGGCCGGCCCAAAGTCCTAGTCGCCGAAGGCCACCAAAACATCGCTTCACAGACCTATCCACTCCACCTCTAGCAGAAGTTCAAAGCATATCTCAAGAAAATACAACACTACACAGAACACTTAACAGCTCCTAAAATAACAACCTCCATGCAAGGAAGAACTGATAGCAAATTTTCTTCCCATGAAGGTACAACAAACCTAACAAGATAAACTAGATTTAAGAGGAGAACAAGTATAATTCCCTGTATGAAGTGAGAGATTGTTATAATAGACAGAAAGTACCTAAAAAGGATCTCACAGGTCAGGTTATCCACTTCGAAGTTCACTTAGCAAAGATCTCTCCACGACAATCACCATAGCAAGGAGAGAACCAACTTTGTGTAAAATCTCTAGTGGAGGGAAAAAAAATACATCTCATGAGGCAACTCATCTAGAGAACTCTGATTCTTATAGAACCTGCATATCACTCCTAGAGAGAAATATCCTTTTTAATGATATTTATACTCTCACCACCCTCCTGATTACATACCTTTTAACACTATAATCATTTATGTAGAAGATGTATCCTCTCCTCCATTTATACCTTCAAAAGATCAAGTAGTGGGTGAGTTAAGGGAAGTGACGGTCCAATACAAAACATGTGTTGAGAGAGGAAGAGGTAGACGACCTATATTAAAACCTAACCCTAGACCTCCTTGAGATTAGTGGGAGCCAAATCTTAAAAAAAGAAACCTCATTGTTGGTCTCTAAAGAGAATTTATGGACCAATCTCATATAGGTAAGGGAAGGCAACTTCAGGACCAAGCAAGCAAAAGCCTTCCAAAGGAAAATCTTAGTCTATTGGGGAAGGGTCTACCTTAAGAAGTGACACTTCTTCCTAAGCTGGTACAAACAAACTTAAAATATATGTAGTTCCTGCAATATAGTTCCAACTCCTTAAGAATAGTGAGCTGGAACTGTTGTGGTTTGGGGGACTCCATGAAAGTCTAGAGATTCAATAAATTTATAAGAACTTTTTCCGTGACTTACTGTTTTTCTTGAGAGGCTTTAGTGGATGAAATATGCCTCTAATCATCTAGTTCCTCCTCTTTCACCAGGAGCTACAGGTTTGGCCCTTTTTTTTTTTTCTAGAAACATCATATTGTAGAGGAAATTATCAAGTCCTGCAAAAACTTTATTGATAAGAGTAAAAGAAAACGGTAGAAATGTTTTCTCCACCTTCTGATATGGGGACCCTGAAAAGGCAAAAATAATTTAGGCAAAGCAAAAAAAAACAGCTAATACGTTATAAACTTTTAATTATTTCACTTGTATTCGCCATAAATTGCAATTACTTTTTCCTAAAATTAAGCCTCGATTTAATCATCTTCGGCCGTTACTTTATATATATAAAAATTCAAGTAGAGCCAAAAGTAACCTAATTTAATATATATATATATATATATATTGTAATCAAGTAGCTATTGTAACGTCTAAGAGAAGTGTTGAATTCTAAACAAGTTGGGTATTAGATTTGGAATAGTAAATAGACTAGATTTGTTTACTAGGAAATTATAAAAGATCATATATCAACATATCAAAATCCATTAAAAATTAGTCATGACGATAAATTTAGGAGAAATATGGCCATATGAATTACCTTTTCTTGTAGTAGTAAAAAATGACAAAAATACAAATAATTTACAAATACAATTTCAATTGTTGTAATTAAAATCAATGACGAATAAATTAGAAATCATGACTTACTCTCTGCCTCAACGATCGCATTTTTGTCTGTACATTGGTAGATCTCTCCTAAAAGAAGTTATTTTAAAATTGCTTCGCATACTCTATCGTAGTGTATGATCAAGTGACTACCTTTAGGGACCTCATGGTTTCTAATACATGGTAGTTGGTGGCACAAATATCCTTACAACTGAAACGACATCACTTTGTCTTCATAACCTTTCCATATTTGGATAGAAGAAGAGCTCTTTTCGGGTCCAGATGGAAACAAGTCAGGTAGGTCGGCCGGCTCAAAGTCCCAGTCGCCGAAGGCCACCAGAAAACCGCTTCTCACCATCGCAAAGTAAGACAACAACTTATAGAATTAATGAAATATATCAAAAAAACTTTGAGAATATAGTAATATCTTACCAGACCTAGCCACTCCACCTCTCGCAGAAGTTCAAAGGAAATCATAAGAAACTACAACACTCCACATAACACTTCACAACTCCTAAAATAACCTCCTCCTTGCAAGGAAGAACTGTTAGCAAATTTTCTTCCCATGAAGTTACAACAAACCTGGAAAGGAAACTGGATTTAATAGGAGGATAAGTAAAATTCCCTGTATGAAGCTAGAGATTGTTATAATAGACGGGAAGTACCTAAAATGGATCTCACAGGTCAGGTTATCCACCTCGGAGTTCACTTAGCAAAGAAATCTCCACCCACAGTCACCATAGCAAGGAGAGAACCAAATTTGTGTAGAATCTCTAGTGGAGGGAAAAAACTCCATCTCATGAGGCAACTCATCTAGAGAACTCTGATTCTTATAGAACGTGCATACCTCTCCTAGAGAGAAATATCCTTTTTAATGATATTTATACTCTCACCAGCCTCCTGATTACATACCTTTTAACACTATAATCATTTATGTAGAAGATTTATCCTCTCCTCCATTTATACCTTCAAAAGATCAAGTAGTGGGTGAGTTAAGGGAAGTGACGGTCCAATACAAAACATGTGTTGAGAGAGGAAGAGGTAGACGCCCTATATTAAAACCTAACCCCTAGACCTCCTTGAGATTAGTGGGAGCCAAATCTTTAAAAAAAAGAAACCTCATTGTTGGTCTCTAAAGAGAATTTATGGACCAATATCATATAGGTAAGGGAAGGCAACTTCAGGACCAAGCAAGCAAAAGCCTTCCAAAGGAAAATCTTAGTCTATTGGGGAATAGTCTACCTTAAGAAGTGACACTTCTTCCTAAGCTGCTACAGACAAACATAAAATACCTTTAGTTACTGCAATCTAGTTCCAACTCCTTAAGAATAGTGCGCTGGAACTGTTGTGGTTTGGGGGACTCCATAAAAGTTTAGAGATTAAATAAATTCACAAGAATTTTTTCCCTGACTTACTGTTTTTCTTGAGAGGCTTTAGTGGATGAAATATGCCTCTAATCATCTAGTTCCTCCTCTTTCACCAGGAGCTACAGGTTTGGCCCTTTTTTTCTAGAAACATCATATTGAAGAGGAAATTATCAAATCCTGCAAAAACTTTATTGATAAGAGTAAAAGCAAAAGGTAGAAATGTTTTCTCCACCTTCCAATATGGGGACCCTGAAAAGGCAAAAATAATTTAGACAAAGCCAAAAAAACAGCTAATACGTTATAAACTTTTAATTATTTCACTTGTATTCGCCATAAATTGCAATTGATTTTTCCTAAAATTAAGCCTCGATTTAATCATCTTCGGCCGTTACTTTATATATATAAAAAAATTCAAGTAGAGCCAAAGTGACCTAATTCAAAATATATTGTAATCAAGTAGCTATTGTAACGTCTAAGAGAAGCGTTGAATTTCTAAACAAGTTGGGTATTAGGTTTGGAATAGTAAATATACTAGATTTTTTTACTAGGAAATTATAAAAGATCATATATCAACATATCAAAATCCATTAAAAATTAGTCATGACGATAAATTTAGGAGAAATATGGCCATATGAATTACCTTTTCTTGTAGTGGTAAAAAATGACGAAAATACAAATAATTTACAAATACAATTTCAATTGTTGTAATAAAAATCAATGAATCAAGAAACAATGACGAATAAGTTAGAAATCATGACTTATTCTCTATCTGAACAATCGCATTTTGTTGTCTGTACATTGGTAGATCTCTCCTAAAAGAAGTTATTTTAAAATTGCTTCGCATACTCTATCGTAGTGTATGATCAAGTCACTACCTTTAGGGACCTCATGGTTTCTAATACATGGTAGTTGGTGGCACAAATATCCTTACAACTGAAACGACATCACTCTGTCTTCATAACCTTTCCATATTTGAATAGAAGAAGAGCCCTTTTCGGGTCCAGATGGAAACAAGTCAGGTAGGTCGGCCGGCTCAAAGTCCCAGTCGCCGAAGGCCACCAAAAACCGCTTCTCACCATCTCAAAGTAAGACAACAATTTATAGAATTGATGAAATATATCAAAAAAGCTTTAAGAATATAGTAATATCTTACCAGACCTAGCCACTCCACCTCTCGCAGAAGTTCAAAGGAAATCTCAAGAAACTACAACACTCCACATAACACTTCACAACTCCTAAAATAACCTCCCCCTTGCAAGGAAGAACTGTCAGCAAATTTTCTTACCATGAAGTTACAACAAACCTAGAAAGGAAACTGGATTTAAGAGGAGGACAAGTATAATTCCCTGTATGAAGTGAGAGATTGTTATAATAGATGGGAAGTACCTAAAAAGGATCCCACAGGTCAGGTTATCCACCTCGGAGTTTGCTTAGCAAAGAACTCTCCACCCACAGTCACCATAGCAAGAGAGAACCAACTTTGTGTACGTAGAATCTCTAGTGGAGAGAAGAAACTCCATCTCATGAGGAAACTCATCTAGAGAACTCTGATTCTTATAGAACATGCATACTTCTCCTACAGAGAAATATCTTTTTAATGATATTTCTACTCTCACCAGCCTCTTGATTACATACCTTTTAACACTATAATCATTTATGTAGAAGGTGTATCCTCTCCTCCATTTATACCTTCAAAAGATCAAGTAATGGGTGAGTTAAGGGAAGTGACGGTCCAATACAAAACATGTGTTGATCCCACAGAAAGTGGAGCAAGAAGGTAAGGAGTAATCTAAGAGGATGCAAACAATCTTATGTCTCATATGGCTAACCTGATAATTATTGATGCGGCAACAGATTCGACCCCAAATCTTTCTCCATTTGAACTCCTCCATGCTGGAAAACCAAACTCCCCTAGGCATAACCCTCAATGATGTCTTCCCCTCTCAGGTAGTAGCTAAAGTTGTTAAGAGAGGAAGATGTAGTTCGCCTCTATCAAAACCTAACCCATAGACCTCCCTGAGATTAGTGGGAGCAAAGTCTCAGAACAGAAACCTCATTGTTGGTCTCTACAGAAAATTTATGGACCAACCCATCTAGGTAAGGGAAGGCAACCGAGCAAGCAAAAGCCTTCCAAAGGAAAATCTTAGTCAATTGGGGAATGGCCTACCTGAAGAGCTTGCACTTCTTCCCATGCTGCTACAAACAAACCTAACATATCTTTAATTCCTGCAATATAGTTCCAACTCCTTAAAAATAGTGAGTTTGAACTGTTGTGGTTGGGGACCTCCATGACAGTTCAGAGATTGAAAGATATTCACAAGAAGATTTTCCCTGACTTACTATTCTTTATAGAGACAAATAATACATAATTTTTTTCTTGAGAAGCTTTAGAGGATGAGATATGCATCTAATCATCTGGTTATTCCTCTTTCACCAGGAGCTCTCTTGCATGTTTGGCCCTTTGTAGAAACATCATATTGAAGAGGAAGTTATCAACTCCATCAAAAGATTTTTTTTCTCCACATTCCTATATGGGAAACTTGAAAGGCAAAAAAAAAATCAGGTAAAGCAAAAAAAAATTCAGCTAATACGTTATATACTTTTAAATATTTCACTTGTATTCGCCATAAATTGCAATTACTTTTTCCCCAAATTAAGCCTCGATTTACTCATCTTCGGCCGTTACTTTATATATAAAAAATCAAGTAAAGCCAAAAGTGACCTAATTCAAAAAAAATATTATTACTTTATGTCTAAAAGAAGCATTAAATTTCTAAATAAGTTGGGTATTAGGTTTGAAATACAATTACAGAAAATTATAAAAGATCATAAATCAACATATTAAAATCCATTAAAGATTAGTCATGACGATAAATTTAGGACAAATATGGCCATATGAATTACCTTTTCTTTTAGTGGATAAAAATGACAAAAATACAAATATTTTACAAATAAAATTTCAATTGTTGTCAATCAAAATCAATGAATCAAGCAACAAGGACAAATAAATTAGAAGTCATGACTTAGTCCCTGTCTCAACGATCACATTTTTTGGTCTGTACATTGGTAGATCTTCTCCTAAAAGAAGTGATTTTAAAATCGCGTCGCAAACTCCATCGTAGTGCACAATCAGGTGACCTCCTTTTGGGACCTCATGATACCTAATCCATGGTAATTGGCGGCACAAACATCTTTGCAGCTGAAACGGCATCACTTTGTCTTCATAACCTTGCCATATTTGAACAGAAGAAGAGCTCTTTTTGGGTCCATATGGAAACAGCTCGGGTATGTCAGCCGGGTCAAAGTCCCAGTCCCCGAAGGCCACCAAAAAATCGCTTCTCAACGTGTCAAAAACGCCGCGCTCTCGTAGCTTCTCCTGTGTACAAATGTGGATTATATCCAAGATATTATTAGTAAATTTGACTAAGCACAATCCTCGTCTGGAGATATAAAATTCTAAACTAATGTTAAGACTTTGTAATTTAACATTGTAAATATTTATGTTTGATAATTTGGTCTCCTAATTTTATTGGTTGTAATATATATTGTTTTGACAATTTAGTCTCTTATTTTATTGACATATTGCTTTGATAATTTGGTCTCCTTAATTAAGTTATGGATAATATTGGGTGTATATGTGATGATGATCTAAAAGTAAGACAAAATAGTTTATAGAATTAGTAAAATATGTGAAACAAAGCTTCAAGAAAAGGATAATATTAACCTTAGTGAGCATTGGGAAGCCTTTGGTGTGCTTGAGGACTTCAATGTCTTGGTCATTGAAGTAAACAGGATTTTTCTCTAGCATCGAAGTTGTAGAGAACATGTTCTGAGTCATTAACCAATGTAGAAGTCTTGGAAAATACTTAGCGATCCAAAGTGACCATTTCGCCACTTCTCTTCTGTAGTCTTTTGGCATCAGACTCTTTGGAATCGACGGCCATCTATAGTTCACTACCGGAGCCACCATCGCCACTCCTGCTAGCCTGTTCAGTTTCATATATTTTTGAAAATTTCATAATTGTAATTTGAGAATACTATATATAAGAAACACATAATTTTTTCGGATTTGTAATTTTTGCATTCCTGTTTTTATCAAATTTATTTGATAACAGCATAATGTGGATCAATGGGTTCGAATTCGAGAAACTACAAGACTCTTAAGGTCTAAATAATATAATGTACTTCCAAAATCAAGTCTTATGATTATAGATTTAAATCTAAAAAAGTTTGTCCCTAATATGATTTTTTCCACACATTAATTAAAAATTCACTACTTGATTGGTAGCCGAATTAAATAATTAAAAGGCAAAGTTTACATAATAAATTTGAGAAATTAAGCCTAGTATGATCACTACAAGAAAACATGTTGATATCCTACGAAAATTCCTACAAAACAAATGGTAGGAAAATTATCCTACGAAATAACTTCGCATTTATGACGAAAACGCAAAAGGGTAGGAAAAAGGAAGTACATTTAACTACGAGAAATAGTGTCAGAAAGTGTAAGGAATATTTCCTACCAATTTCTTTTAAAAAGTAGTTTCGTAGGAAATGGTGAAGGAAACGGAAAGGAATGTGGAAGGAAACAACGCGGAGAGAATTTGGTAGGATTTTTTCCTACGAAATGCCTTCAATGGAGAAGTGAAAGGAAACGTCGTAGGAAATTAGTAGATATATCGAGAGAACTCATTTCGTAGGAAATTAGAAGGAAACAATAATTTGTAATTATTTCGTTTGTAACCTTCTAAACACAAAATAGATATTTATTATTTCCAATAAATAAGTTTGTAACTAAACACAAAATAGATATTTATAATTTGTTTATAAAGTACTAATTTGTATCATATTTTTTATTGGGCCTATAATTATAATTGTTTATAAACTTTATATTGTATCATTTGTATAAGAAGATAAAAAATAATTTATATCATATTTGTTTTAAAAATTTACTTTGTTTATTGGAGGGACAGATTTTCTACGAATACAAAATTGTAGGATTTTCTTATGAATATTGTAAGAATGTTTCTACCAATTTCTTACTATAGGTTAATCTTAGGTTCTTAGAAAAATTGTAGGTTATATTCAACCGAACAAAACTGAACAGCTAGTCGAGTAAAGCTATATTGTTATGAGCTTTTTGTCGGAAAGATTAAAACCCAAATGATCCCACAATATGAATTTTGAACATGTTAATTCTCTGACAATCTTGTCCAATCTAAATCTTGAAAGAACTATTTTTTACAACATGTGTCTTGGCTTTATTATCCTGACTTTTATAAAAAACACTATAATGAGTTAATTTAATTTATTGAGTCAGTATATTAGTTTTGTTTTACCTTTGTGGAATGTGTTTAAGACAACTCCAAACAGTGTATGATCCCATTGAGATTCCAATCAAATAAAACTTGGATCCAATCTTTAACCGATCAGCCAGTTCTTCAACATCATAGGCTTCACTCTTCAACGAACGTTTCGGATTCGGGTCGCTTTCTCCATAACCAGCTCGATCGTATAGCACAAAGTATATCCCAATTTCATTCACAAGCTCCTGAGATTATAACTAAAACAAGTCTCATTACTCTTCAACTTCAACCAATGATCTCTAATAAAATCTAACTTAATTTTCCTACTTTTTTCAGACACTCCACATTAAAGATTACGATGAAAAAAAAAAAAAACATAAGTGGTCTCAAGAAGTCAGTTTCTTGGATCTTGTAATGGACTGGGATCTGAAGATTTGACAAAAAAAAAGATATTTGAAACAAGAGGGTCAAGAATAAAGGATAAGTGTATACTTGTGAGGCATTGAAGTTCATATCTTTGGAGCTACCAAATCCATGAACAAGAACGATGGTGAACTTGGCATCATCTTTAGGGACACCTCTTTCCTTGTAAGCCAAGTATCTACCATCGCGAAGTTTGATCCTTCCTTGAGGATCCTCCATTGCTGTTGTTGACCTGGTGAAGAAGAGAAACGATTAAAGAGAAGAACATGTGAAGCACTTAGGACTAGGGGGGAAAGGTAGATCTAGCTGGAATTATTTAGTAGAATCATTATTGTATATATAAACTGTTGAATAAGTACTATTTTATTTTATATAGTCAAGATTTGGGTTTCTCTTATTGGTTTGAATTGATTAGGAACTTTTAAATAGAATAAGGGATCATTGGAATATTCGTAGGTGCTTTGTAGGATGATTGAGCGAGGGGGCCAAAGAAATAAAGGACAATATACAGAAATGTTTGATAAAATTTAAAATGTATAAGTAATGCTAACTTTGTATACCTATTCACTCATCTTCATATTTTCATCTGTCTAGAACTGTTTAGTGTTGCTTTGGTCATATATTTGTATAATAAGTTTAAATAAAATAATAAAGGAAAAAAGCGACTAAATAATCATATACTGAGTTTTGATACAACTAAAAACACGGTGAAAATTTAACAACACGAAATAATATTTGTCGATAAATTATTCATTTTGACCATTTTTGTAGTAAAAGTACGAATATACGTAAAATTACATATTTACAATATATTTTTTGAAAGTCCAACCCGTAACTTAATTTATTTCGTAAAAAACTTTATTCGTAACTCGCTTTATCATTATAATTGTGATTTCAACAAAATACCCGTGAATTATCTAAAATTTACATAGTTTGATATATAATATATTTTATCAATAAAAAGTATGTCTCCAAATTACATTTATGTCTTCAAAAAATATTTCAATACTTTAAATTCTAAAAGTTTTATATATTTGAACCTTTTATTTATAATATTTTGAAACTATTTGAAATTTTAAATATGCTCATGTAACAATGGTTTTAATATAGGTCATACTTATAATGATTTTAAACCATTGTCCAAAATATTTTATCGAGTGTAGTTGAGTATTATATGTCCCTTTTGAAAAATTCAAATTGCACATATGCAAAAAAAAGTTAAATTTTTATTAAATATTTATATTATATAGTATAATATCATAAATTAAAAATAATATCAAATAAAAGTGAAAGAAGAATAATATTTTTTAAATAGATTGTATTAAATTAGTTAGAGAAATATTAGTAAATCCTATAATTAATTATGGAAATAATACAATACTAAAATTAGATTTGGAAAGTATCCGGTGTATGTATCCAAACCCATTAATCTATCCAACTTTAAAAGATCCAATTACAAATTTTGGGTAATTTTTTAAAATTGACCCGACCCGAAAGCACTTTTTGTACTTCTCTTTTACTAATATAGGGATATACAGAAATGTTTGATAAAATTTTTAAAATGTAAAGTTTTGCTAACTTTGTATACCTATTCACTCATCTTCATATTTTTCATCTGTCTAGTACTGTTTAGTGTTGCTTTGGCCGATTTTATAAATAATGGTGGGGTAAGAAAAACTGTAAGAAAGAGTGTAAGAAATTAGTGCTCCATTTTGGGTATTATCATTGCAATTCGCTTAATTAGGCAAATCCAACCTGAAGCTTCAGTATCAACCGAGAACATTAGTTTTTTTTTAAGTATAAATTCATAGCTGTAGAGTAGTAGTTAATTTAATTAACTCCATACCCTTTTCACTTTACAAATGCCAATTTCAAAATAAAGTCTTCCAAAATAAAATATTATATATTATGTTTGTAGATAAACAATATAATTTTTTTTTCCCTAGGTTTAAAAGTACTAGGAGCCAGCCATGCATCAAGGGTGGAATATCCAATTTTAATGTGCACATCTTTTACACTAAATATTGTTTTTTTTTTCTTACTAACATCATCGCTATTACATTTCCGATGTTTGTTTGCTTTCGACCATCTTCTAAATAAAGAAGTAGTAAAAGATCGTATGAGCTTCCACAGACAGTTAATAATCTTTTTATTAGTAGAACGACCTTGGTGAGACTATGAAACTTGTGAGTTCAAGTTTTCTTTGAATTCATTGATTGAATATTTTAGGGATTTACTATAATTTGTCTTTGTAATTTAAGTTGTTTATTGAAATAATGTATCTTGGGTTTTGATTAATAGCTCATCTCGTTTTTAGACAAAGATATTTTAGGTAATCATAAAAATTAACATGATCAATATGTTTATTAGTTTATGATTAAAATGTGGCTTTTATTCATGTTTAATTGTGATATATTTGACTTAACAGTTTAAAAAAATTTATCGATTATAAAAAATATTGAATGAATAATTAATACGTAAAATAACAAAATAAATGGGTGAAAAATGTTGAATAATTTAGGTAAAAAACCTTTTATTATTTTGGGTGGAAATTGTGGTCTTTTTGGATGTAAATAGGTCCAACTCAAGATAGTTTGAAGTGTGAATCTTTAGTCAATTCTAAAAAGATAATCTTGTAAAGAGGTCCATTTTTTTTAAAAAGATTAAAATTACACCGAAAAGATTAAAATAGTTTTAGATTTAAAAACCTTAAAAATAAATAGGCCCAAATATTCAAAATTTCCACACTTGAATTAGGCCCAAATATTTTTAAAATAGGTCCAAGTATTAAAAAGTCTCACAAGCCCCAAAGAAAAAAAATCTGAAAATTGTCTTAAAGCCCTTAATTATATGATCATGATACTCGAGGACTACATGGTCGTGGTAGTGAATTCAAGAAAATTGTTGACCAGCCAAGATCACCTGAGCTAGATGCTCAAAGTATGTGTGGCCGTGAACAATGATGCATAAGAGAACATGGCACATTATAGTAAATGTCAAGCATTGTCTATGAGCATGAGACTATATGATTGGACAAACTATGCAACCACCACCAATATGGTCACAAGGAGCATCGTCCGTTTCGTTTTCTTAGTGAACCAATCACCTAAATCAAGCAATGAAGCCAATTTGCAACAAGATACTCAAGTCATTTAGCTAAAACAACCTACATTGGGAATTGCATTTACCACTAATCATCATTAAAAGACTTTTAAACACTTAAACAAAACATTGTAATTTGTATTTCAAGATTCAAAACTTATTATTAATCGAGAATCTTACAAAGAAGTCGAAGAGCTCTTTTTCTCACAAAGGTAGGGTTTTTATTCTCTTACTCATATCAAGTTTTTTTATACACAAACACAAAACTCTTGTCTTCTGTTACATTTATCCCCAATTTGGTTTAGGGTTTTTTCAACTTCGTCTCTGCTCTAACCACGAAAAATTAGGGTTTTTTTTAAAAAAGACAAAATTTTTACCGGTTGAGAGAAGGAAAAATTAACCTCGGATTTGACTTCATTCTCTAGTCGTAGCTTTTTGGGTTTTTGGTTTCGTCTATGAATTCGTGTTTGGAACTGTTGAGTTCTTAGTAAACTTCCTCAGAGCTTTGTTAATGGGTTTTGTGATCTCAATGGGGGTTTTGTTTTTCTAAAGTTTCGATTTTTTTGATAGTTTGAATTGAGAAGAGATGATTGCGGAGAAACCCGTTTGGGTTAAACATGAAGGGTTACAGATATTTTCCATTGATGTTCAGCCTAATGGTGAAAGGTTTGCTACAGGCGGTGGTGACCACAAGGTGTTTAATTTCTCCTCTTCTTCTTCTTTTTCTTCTATTGCTTATGTTGATGAGTTTGGTTGATGTTGATCTTTAGCTTGTTTGAATTGAATTTGAAATTGGGGTTTAATGCAATGGTGCAACCAGTTGAAGTACTTGATTTATGAGTATGTTGATGGTTCTGTAACTGCTTAGTATGTACATGTGCAGTTTCTTGGATCTTTGTTTCTTGTTTGGATTTAGTTCTGCTTTCTTTGAGATTTTAGAATGTCTGTCTATTCAGTAGTATGAATTGTGGTTGTAAGCTGTGGTTTGTTATGCCAGTGCTTGTGTTCCTCTTGTTTTTATCAAAATTGTAGGCTTTGTATCATTTGGACCATGTCAGTGACATAGGTCTGTTTATCCTTTTAATTCATTGACTGGAACAGGGGAAGTTAGGAACTGGTTTCTAAGCTGTTAAGATATGGGATGAAGGGATGAATCTGTTGGATACTCAAAACTGTTTTTGCTTTCATGGTTGTAGTGAGTGAATAGATAGCTGAACCTTTCTCTTATTTGTGCTTAGTAGTTTTAGTAATTGTAGTCTGTAATATGTATATAGGTCCGTATATGGAACATGAAGTCTGTTGACAAGGATTTGCAAAACATAGATACAAAGGAGAGGCTTCTTGCAACTCTTCGTGACCACTTTGGGTCAGTCAATTGTGTTAGGTGGGCTAAGAACAGTAGGTATGTGGCATCTGGTTCTGATGATCAAGTGATTCAAATTCATGAGAGGAAGCCTGGTTCAGGCACCACTGAGTTTGGTAGTGGAGAAGCCCCCGATGTTGAGAACTGGAAAGCTGTAATGACATTAAGGGGCCACACTGCCGATGTGGTAAACGCCATTTTGCTTTTCTTTATCATCTTGAGTGGTAGTTTCAATGGTTATGGTTATGTAATAACTGAGGTATTTATTTCTAACTATCCTTAAAGTAGGTGGATCTTAATTGGTCTCCAGATGATTCTATGCTGGCTAGTGGGAGTCTGGACAACACAATCCATATATGGAATATGCGCACTGGTATGTGCACTACTGTTCTCAGGGGTCACTTGAGCTTGGTTAAAGGTGTAACCTGGGATCCAATCGGGTCTTTTATTGCTAGCCAATCAGATGACAAAACTGTGATAATATGGCGAACAAGTGACTGGGGCATGGCTCACAAAACAGATGGTCACTGGGCAAAATCGGTATGTAATATTTGTTCTCGCAATTCTGTTTTGTATTTACATAAAAGAAATGATAGTAGAAAGAATTTGATTAGTGATTCTCTTTTATCTGAAAGTTACTGCTATTGCTTCCTGCTATGTTATGTTGTATTTTCTCAAAAGAAAATTATATAAAGAGTTCTATAGTGATTCCGTTTCTGAAATTTATTACAATTGCTTCCCTGTTCTCTTAGGACGTTTACTGCTAATAGGATCTGCTAATATATATATTTTATTTTCTAGCTTGGATCCACATTTTTTAGGCGACTTGCGTGGTCCCCTTGTGGCCACTTCCTTACTACCACTCATGGGTTTCAGAAGCCGAAGCATTCTGCTCCTGTGTTAGAAAGAGGGGAATGGTCCGTAGCATATGACTTCCTAGGTCACAGTGCTCCAATCATTGTTGTTAAGTTCAATAATTCGATGTTCAAAAGAACCCACTTAGGTACCCAGGAAACTAAACGAGTTGGGTGGAGCAATGGAACATCAAAGTCAGGGGAAAAAGATTTGCAGTCATACAATGTTATTGCAATTGGGAGTCAAGACCGTACCATAACCGTATGGACAACTGGAAGTGCGCGTCCTCTTTTCGTCGCGAAGCATTTCTTTGGCCAAAGTGTTGTGGATCTATCATGGTAAGTTTTTCCCTTTTTTGGCCACAAATCTGCATATCTAGTGATTTCATGATTTGCAGTTATGTCTTCTTAAAGGGGTTTTGTTTGTGTCTCAAAAGTGCATTTATTTTTCCATATATTGGTTTCGTATGTAGTCAATTCAGATTTCGTATAATAAATCCTTGACTTCTTTTCTAGGGCCACAATTAATCTTCTAAAACATAAAAGAAGAGGAAAGTTTATTACTTTAAATCTTATATTTTATCTTCGGAATTACAGGAGTCCTGACGGATATTCACTTTTCGCATGTTCCTTGGATGGAACAGTGGCGATGATTCACTTTGACCCAAAAGAATTAGGCGTCAGGCTAACCGATCCTGAACTCGATGAATTGAAGAAAGGTCGATATGGAGATGTCAGAGGCCGGCAAGCAAACTTAGTTGAGACCCCAGCCCAGTTATTACTTGAAACAGCCTTGACAAAGCAAACAGGTAGTAAGAGGATGGCATCGGATGTTCAACAAAATCAGGTGACAGTAAAACCATCTGCTAATGTTGAGACTACTGCAAAGAGGCGTAAATCGCTAATCGATGATCGGAATAAGACAGCAGAGGCTACTACTGGTGACACATTAAATAAAGCATCTATCTTAAATAGGGTATCCAGTCCTGTGAATCAAAAAGTGTATAGAAGGCCTGATGGAAGAAAGAGGATTATTCCTGAAGCTGTTGGAATTCCCCAACAGGAGAATAATATCGCGATTAATGGACAATCCCATAATTTTCTGCCTGCAATCACTGCTGCTCCTGGGACAGGAGATTGTGGAGATTTTCCTGTGGGGATTGGCAATAGGGATTCATCTGTGAAAGAAATAGTGTGCAGGAATCCTGATCTTAAAGAGCGTTCAAGGATTACAGCTCGTGCTACCATAACTGAGGGCCTTGTGATTGAGAAGGTTCCTGGAACCTCTGGTAAAGATGGAGTTTTAAATGTTGAGCAATCTGTAGGTATAAAAGAATCTTCTAGCACAGATCTGCTAATAAGGGTATTTGATTGGAAAGAAGGGGAAGCTGCACCACCTGTTTGCTTAGAAGCTTTTCCAAGGGAGCATGCTTTGGACACTGTTGGTGCAGTAAGTACATCTATGGTCAAGGAAACTGAAATTACTTGCAAAAAATCAGGTGAAACTCTTTGGTCTGATCGGATTATGGGGAGAGTCACTGTTTTGGCCGGAAATCCAAATTTTTGGGCTGTTGGATGCGAAGACGGAAGCCTCCAGGTTAGAATAATATTTTTGCTACATTGATTTGAAGTCTTTGTGTGCCATTTTATATTTTACAAAGAAACTCTGTCAATAGAGTAGCCATGATTCATGGTGCTTTCCGCTTTTGGCATTTGGTATCGTTGATATCATTCCTATTAAAACACCCTCAATTACTATATTGGATTTGATAGCATCAATCCTTCTTGATGTTGATATTCTAACATATGTTTCCTCCACCTATTTAATTCTATCAGAGTCACTGAACTTTACACCAATTGTAATATTTCTGTTAGGACTTATCTTCTTAGGAAATGCGTAGTTCAGGATCTGAGGCTTTGAGTGTATTAAACTCTTGGTGAAGGAATTTCTCTGGGACATATATAAACCTGAATGTCACGTGGTTCTCAGAATAATATGTGATAACATGTGTACTCTCTTTTTTTCTTTCTGAAGGTGTACACTAAGTGTGGAAGGCGTGCGATGCCTACAATGATGATGGGGTCTGCTGCAACATTTATTGATTGCGACGATAGCTGGAAATTGTTGCTTGTAACAAGCAAAGGCTCTCTATATGTATGGGATCTATTCAATAGAAAATGTGTTCTCCATGACTCTCTATCTTCTTTGGTCTCTTCTGATGTCAATTTATCTTCCACAGTAAAAGGTATGCTCCAATACTTGAATACATTGCTGGCTCTATATCGTCTAAAACTTATGTCTTAAGGCCCAATGTTATATTTTGAAACGGACTGGATGGGCAATCCAGTCAAAAGAATGAAAACTGGTATTACCAATTTTATCTTGTGGGTGACTTAGTAGTGGAGATACTAACTTGGTTTTTGAATGATGTGTTATGTCTTATAGTAGTTAGGAGATAGCGCTGTTATTGGTTTGGGCTGTTAAACTTACCTAGTGGAATCTTAAAACGAATTTAACCTTGTGTGTTGCGACAAGCTCTGCTGATACATTGTTACGATTATGCAGGAACTATCAAAGTGATATCTGTGAAATTATCCAAATCTGGTTCACCACTTGTAGTTCTAGCCACACGTCATGCATACCTCTTTGATACGAGTCTAATGTGCTGGCTAAGAGTGGCTGATGACTGCTTCCCGGCCTCAAATTTCAGTAGCTCCTGGAATTTGGGCTCAGCTCCATGCGGCGAGCTTGCTGGTTTGCAGGTTGATGTCAGAAAGTACATGGCTAGAAAGCCGGGGTGGAACAGGTTGGGCTTGTCTTCCATTCCTTCAATGTTGGCCCTGAGATGGACCACCTATTCCAAGTCCTGAAAGAAGCTTATTTCATTTTACAGGATAACTGATGATGGAATGCAAACACGTGCACATTTGGAAACTCAACTTGCATCTTCTCTTGCACTTGAGTCTCCTAATGAATACCGCCAGTGTCTCCTCGCCTATGTGAGGTTTCTAGCAAGGTCTGTGCCCTTTTCTCATATAAAACCTTTCAGTTCGAATTTGAATACATTTCAGTAATAAGGATTAAGTCTATCATTTGCGAAACTCATCCAGCTAGAGGGATCTTTGGAGATTTATTTGCTTTGTGTGGCTTAAACATTTTATACCAAGGAGAAAATATATTCTCAGTTTCAGACTCTGTTTCGTTCTTTCTCTTGACAATAAAGTTCTATGGGGTTACTTTAATTTGTGATTTTCAACTCTATCATATTCCACCTACTTAAAGTCTGTGTCTTGTTCTGCAGAGAGGCAGACGAGTCCAGACTAAGAGAAGTCTGCGAGAGCTTTCTTGGACCTCCAACTGGTATGGCTGAAGCAGCATCTTCAGACAAAAACTTGTCTTGGGATCCTTATGTTCTGGTAAATACTTTCTCTTGATCAAAGTCTAACAAATTTTCAAATCACAATACTCCAAGACTTGCTTTACTTTCCAGGGGGTGAAGAAGCATAAACTTTTGAGAAACGATATTCTCCCTGCAATGGCGTCAAACAGAAAAGTGCAGCGGCTACTAAATGAGTTTATGGATCTCTTATCTGAATATGAAGATGCAGAACCAGCAGATCCTGGCCCTAAGGGCTCGACACCTACGATGAACTGTGGTGGAGTCCCATCTTCATTGGATAAAATAGGCTCTGATCCTCCAGCCTTGACAGCTACTACTCCTATGACAACAGACAATGACAAACTAGTTTCTCTGGGAAATTCAGCGGCTTTGGAGATAAGTGCGTGTGAGAAACCAGGTTCTGAAGACCGGGATAGACAAGACCAGAACTCAAAAGACTCGGGTTCTTGAACTTGTTCCCTCAATGTTTCTTTTGTATATCAAGCTCAGAGAGCTGTGTAAAGGTTCTCAGTTAGGCGTCGTTAAAGATTTGAGAACAGAGAAAAATGATGAGACGTAACAGACTGAGTCTCTCAAGTTAGCTATAGAGTGACCCTGTTTAGTATATCCCATTATAAGTGAGATGGTTTTTGTTTTAGTTTTCTTTCAAAATTAACAATATTTTGTATCAATCTATTTTTGTTTCTTTTTCTTTTTGGTTAAAGTTTTGCCATTCTAACCTCACCATACACTAAAGTCTTAGTCAAATGTCAAGAAACAAGAAAAAGAAATGTAATGTTGGCCAAAGTTCCAAAGCTTCTTGTGTCTCGTCAGGTATCTCAGTTTATGAGAAAGAGAACATAAGATACAAGGTTCATGATTGTGTTTGGCGAGCCTGGATCAATCAGTCCTTGGATGGACTGATCATCGTTTGATTCGATCAATTCAAAGCACATAATTCAGTAGCTAGTATCGCGACGAAACAACGAGCATTCAGTGACGGGGTCTCAGATCCCGATCAGTCTTGTATTTCAACTTAAACGTGAACAAAAATCAAAAATTTTTGATTATCATTGTCGACTTCTTTCGATTTGTTGTTAAGAACATAGTTGTTTGTTTGCTTTTTTTTGTCTCCCACCTTTTTATTAGTGTCACAAACATATTATTCGATGCCAAAGAATAAGTTAAACTAGGCAAAGAGGACGACTTGGGGAGATTGGATATCATATACATTGCTTGGTGTATGCTCCAGATGCAAATTGCTTATAACGAGCAAGACACCATGTAATATCCATATTAGAAAGTTATGGGAATTATTAAAGACAATGTTTTCGGAAATGACTTCCGAAATTATTATTGTTATTTTTTTTTAATAACTAATAAGAAGTTTTGGATCAAAGTCTATACATTCTTCTTGTTGAAAATCCGAAATGTTATATTATTTCGTCCCAAAAACAATTGTCGTCCCAAGAACGATTGTCATATGATTTGGCTGGTCATATGATAGTTGGATAGGTTTTTGAAACTGTATTAAAAAAACGATAAAATTTGGTAAATAAAATATATTTGTTGAAGAAAATTTAAAAAAACATGCGAATGTAAAAAAAGACCACAAATCGAAATTTATAAGATATTTTATGTTTGTTTTAGTTTAAGTCACCATCCAACTAGTTGGGAATGCAACAAATATAAATTTCTTTGCCAACTATACCAACTTCCTTCAAAACAGGCTCTTAATTATGCAAACAACTTCCATCACAAATGAAAAAGAAAACACTAGTTACGTTTCAACTACCCATCAATTATAAATTTATATTGTGACATTTCTTTGAATTCCATAGTTATTTTTAGAATATGATGTAAGCGCGTTCTTATCATTTGAAAGAGCTTTTGAAACATGTTCTCGAATTAGAAAACTTCCAAAATATCATTATGTCATATATTTCTATATGTGCACAATTTATTTTAAATGTTTTCGTTTATATTTCATGAATTTTAAAAATATTTGTTGGACAACTTTTGAAAATATTATCGTATTGTTAACTCTTATACTATTCATTTCAATATACTGTAAGAGACGTTTACACATAATATATAGAAGTTACCTTTGGCTCAGGTGGCTAGATGTGTTTTATTTGTATGGGAGAATTTGGGTTCAAATCCAGAAGAAGAGTTGTTTTGTCTTTGTTTTTTTTTTTCGTTTACAAAATTGACTGAAACAAGGTTGTTTAATGATATTACGTGGCAGTTTAAACTTCAAACACTACATCCTAGTCAAAATTTGTTAATGGAGTAATAACGCTGATTATCGATTCGATGGATTTGAATTGTTCATGTTGAAAATTCAAATTTTAATTAAGTTTATGTGGTTATAATCACTACTTAAAGTTTTGTGTTTGAATACGATAAAGCAACTAAGTTCGTGAGGAATATATTGTTTTCCTGCCACAAATTAGCTATCAACATTCATTAGATATTCCTAACCCCTAAAACCTATATCGAGACATAAATATAAAAAAGTCAACCCAATCAGTAAAAATAATAAGTTTATACCTTAAAAAATCAACTTTTTATGTTTATGGTTTTTTGAAAAAATAAAATTTTTGTGGTATTTTTGGAAAAAAAAATTATTGTATTTTTGGAAGAAAAACTAAAAGGATGACATCTAATGGAATTTCTATAAAAAAAAATTATATGTCAATATAAAATAAGTTATAAATCAAATATTTAATTTTCCGCCAATCATAATTGTTAAGCAATGTCATCCACGATTCAGCTGCTTGTCTGGATAGAAATGAGACATGGACTGAATATGAATTAAGATTAACCAACATTTATGAATTGGGTGAAAACAATAAAATTGAGTTATGTCAAACAAAGTTCTAAAAATTGATTCAAATTGAAACTTCCAATTTTTGAAAAGACAATCATGCAAAAAAAAAAAAAAAGTTATTCATGGAGTACATTTTTTTTCAAAATGACATGATATAGATAAAAAAATATTATATGATATTCCTAATTACAATACCGAGAGTTTACATCTCTATATTAATCGAGAATGTCAATCAAAACTGTTAAAAATATTCTATTCTATTTATATTAATGTCATTATTTTAGAATTTTGTTTGTTTAGTAGAATAAAACAATACGGCTGAGCTACTACTGTGTTCATAATTGGAGTCAACAAATTATTTCTCATTTTTATCATGTTTAACTTTAATAAAAAAGAAATATGATAATATTTTCTTCTCTTATTCTGTAAAATAGTTTGATATTTTGTTTTGGCTGAATGGAAAATATACAACGTGTTAATATCAGAATCTTGTAACTATTTAGAGCTATAATATCAATTATTGAACAACAACAAAAACAGAAACTGCAATCAAAGAGGACCTACGACGAAAATAACACGTGAAGAGGACCTACGACGAAAATAACACGTGATGTCACAATATATCTTTTATTATCAACTATATATCAATGATAATGTCTACTACTTTTCTATTAAATATCTGTCGTAATGTCTTATTATTCTTTGGTTTTATGTTACTAGGATCCAGTTTTGTAATATATATATATACGTTCGAAATGATTAAATCATTTATTATACTACATATTAAAATATATATAAACTATTGATCCTATAGTGTAACTTTAAGTAAATGAGTATTTTAGATAACCCTTTTTCTCTTCTTAGATGAATAGTTTAAAAATGACACATTCACGTAATATGTAGCTAAGCCGGAACAATAGATTTTATTACACCGACTACGATGTTTTGGCATGTATCTTTGACACCACAACCATATAAATCTACTAGTCCATCATCATCATCATCATTGAATGGTCATCTATCGCATATGATATGTAATCGTACGTCAAATGGTCTTTGTATCATACATGTCCAAGCTTTCTAAGTGCTCTTGTAACCCAACCTAGAAGTTTGAAGTGCATTGCTAATTTTTAGCTCTACGCATTACTAATTTAACAATAGTTATTTACTTCTTCAACGAATCTCTAATTCAATGGCTGATCGATCACTAGTAACATAAGTCAAGAACTTATTTTATATTCTAGTACCACGTCTTAATTACTTTTATTTATTTGAGCTCCAATGTCTGAAAATATTCATATTATTTTAGAGCTATTTATCATAGAATGGTAAACAAGGATTAGTAAAATACACTCTCTATGCTTGCTAAGATAGTTATGACTAAATATATATATACGAAGACAGTTTTAAAGCGGATTGTCTATTTCAATCTTGTAAATTATTATTCTCCAAATTTTTAAATTTGTAAACTCATTTTTATCCTATTAGATAACCAACTATGAAAAAATCTTTTAATTAACGCAAAAAAAAAAAAATACGAAGAGAGGGTTTTTGTTTTTAATTTCTTAGCAGATTAGATCTTACAAATTACGTACGAGTAAGCTATAAAAATAATGTATAACCACGAAGTAGTTGTGGATGACTACAAAACGTCGATTTGTTCTTTAAGAGGAAGAATAAATATGCATTTAATAACCCATTTTTTGTAGTTGAACGTCGACCATTTCTTTAAGTGGAAAGATTTTAGTAACCCCAACGTTTGTACTTGTTAGATTTATTATCTATCACAAAAAAAAAAAAACACGTTTGTACATTTTAGTTTTATTGGTGTATAGTATTAGTAACTAAGAGTTTGAATATCAAAATTATTAATGTTATATGTCACCCTTGAAGTTAAAAAATGTAGTATAAATACGATATCGTATATGTTAAGTTTCCTTTAGGTTAGACTTTCTAGTATAAATACAAATCTTTGTATACGTCTAAGTATTAATACAAGAAATCATTTCTATACGTTTAAGATTTCTTGATAAGTATATACATATCAACCACAAATAATATTTTGTTTTTTTTTTTCTTTTTTTGTTTGGATGTTGTAGAGTGAAACTCATTACTACCCATCGCTGTTAACATTTTCATCCTTTTATGTTATAATGTACTGTCGGTGCGGACAAGTAGTGTTTGCCTTTATAAAGCCAATTAGAAATCTTGAACTCTCCACAGAGATTTTTGTTGTTGTACTAACTAGATTTGTCCACACACGATATGTCGACTGAGAAGGAGGTCGTGAGTGTTCTTCAGTATCTTGACAACAAAACTATTTTGGTGATCGGAGCTGCCGGGTTCTTAGGAAAGAGTACTGATCTCTCTCTCCCTCTTTTTTTCTTTCTTTCTTTTTAATATATTAGCAAGAATGCTTTAAAGTTTCGTGTCTAATTAGTAGTTGCAATTAATGGGTACCTTGGAAATATTTTATTTTCATATAATGTGTTTCAAAAAATATATTCATTGATCATACTAGTAGTGAATTCATCAGGTTTTTTGAAGGTTCTAAAAATTTTAAGATTGCGAAGCCAAACCCGAATTCTAATATTAAAAATATATATAGTTCAAGTTTAAAAGTTTAGAAATAAAGCAAATCTTAATAAATCAATCCAAGCCCTAGTTCTAAACTAATTCTCTCAGAAGCATTTTTAAATGACAAAACAATACAATCTTAATAAAGCAAATTGAATGCAAAAAAATGGGTTGGTTCTTATAATACTCGTAATTATAAACCCATGAACAGGTTAGTATTCACAGTAAAGTCTACTCTCAAATAGTAAGTACAGTATAACTATAATGTTATAGTTCTAAAATAAATCATATGAGCTAATTA